GTCACACTGCGTGTTGTGGTGCAGAAGACCCTCAGCTGCCTGTGGCACTGGGCTGTGACCTTCCTTTTAGCTGCAGGTCCTGATGGGACTCATCTACCACCCTGCCTGGTTTACAAGCTATAGTGCAGGACAGAGGCCCCAGCACTTCACCACAAGCGATAAAGGACGTCATGCTTTGGGGTACCTTGTCATTAGGGTGGGAAATGATAGTGGGTACTGTACAAAGGATTTCATGCAACTACCTTTGCCTCTGAGACAAGTAGAAGCTGCTAGATGGAAAATATTTTGTTTCTAATCTGCTCTGTGTATATTGCAATATAGACGTACTTGAGGCTTATAGTTCAGTTTTCTTCAGGATATTGGAACACCTGTTTAAAAAATGCATTAGAAGGGGGAAATATTTGTTCCAATGTTAATACTAAATATGTGCACAAAATTTAATTATCTTGACACTAGGGAGAGGTTTAAACACCCCTGTTTGGATTCACTTGCTAATCTGTTGCCAAATGCACTGAGGAAAACTAGAATAAGATAAAATGAGAACTTGACCAATTGCCTGTGCTTGTAGCAGAATGGCAGATCCCTGTGCTTCAAGAGATAGATGTCTGTCTTTGAGGCCTTTTTTGAAATCATACAATAGGGTATTGTTTCATGCTGATGGGGTGCAGAAGTGGGTGGAGATTATACATAAGGAGGCTACATCAATAACCATCCAGCTCATTGCATGTTTTTCCTTGATGTTGTTGGTGGTGTTCCTAGTCAAACTAAGCCATGGGTTGTAAGCATCACTGTGTAGAACACCAATATTAAGCTAAAGCATCAAAATACTGTGGAGGAAATCCAGACACCACAGGCAATCAGTCTCCTGAAAGGTTCCTAAACCACTGTTGGCTTCTGACTGTTTTCACCAATGAACATTGTTCAAGTCACTGTCCTGCAGAAACTCACAAGCTCCCAGATAAAGGAAGGTCCTCTCCCCTGGGAGGGTTTCCTTTTGACATTGTTCTTCTGTGTAGGAAAAGCCCTCCTACAAAGAACAGCAGTCAATAGAAGAATTTGATTTTGAGATGCCTGTGGACCATAATCCAGCCCTAGCTGTTATTTCTGGAGGGTTTGTTTCCATTTTCTCTACCCCTGGTTTCTCCAGAGAGGACTGACCATTCTTCCTTTATGCTCCTCCCATGATGGCTTGTGTGTTTCAATCCACTCTGTGGGTGGGAATGGCAATGTTTTGGAAATGCAGGATGTAATTAGAAGCAGCTGATGACGACAAGTCTCTGGATTTGTTTTCTTAATTGGTTAAGTCCCTGACTTTGAAGATGGGTGGTTTCTTATGTCTGTTTCTGTCCTGAGTCATTTTCATGTCACAGCTCATTCCAGGGTATGTCTTCACCAGACAAAGCAGTGTCAATGTTGAAAACAGCACACTGCTATTCATGATGAGGACCAAGAGTGGGCTCTCACAGGCACCTACCCTTTATCTCTGCAGTTAGCATAGAGGGGGAGCAACGGTAACATCTGGGTCCCAGAAGATGTGTCATATATATCTACCTGTTTCTTCCTTCTTCTATTATCAAAGGCTGATGAAGCCATGCGCTTTTTTGTTCTCATAAAAATGCCCTACAAGGGTGCAGTGTAGGTGGGAAGACAAAATGCGGGAGAACAAAATGTGAATCTTGGTGCTTCTGCTCAGCCAGTAAGAGTGTGTTAGCCTATGTTGAAAGAGCGTGGAAGGTTTCCACAGGCCTAGAGCTGCTAGAGAGGGACAGTGAGCGATGGCACAGGCCTGCACTGGAGCTGGTGGGTCATTTTCTCTCTGTCACCTTTCAGGGAAGGACACTACAAATTGAACGAGAACGGTGCAGCTACCCAGCAATACCCATGTTGTGTGTTAAGGGAGGTGAGGGAGTGTTAGGAAAGGGTTCCCAGTCTGTATAGTGCTAGATGTCTGATATCTGCACTTCATGCCTGGTGAGGCTGGACAGACCAATTCCTGTGGCCAGGTCCTCTGTGCCAGGTCAAGTGCAAGGAAGGCCTACAGCTAAAAACCAGAAAAGGTGTTAGCAGCAACAGCAGGTGTGCTCCATTGAATTCCTGCTCATGAAACTTCCCTCCAGATGATCTGGGTTTTCTGGTGAATGGAGCTCAATTGAATTGACCATCCATTACAACCACTTATACCATTAATATTTGCTCTAGCAATAAAGGAAAACTTAACAGTAAAATTCCCTCTCCTTTTTTTAACAGAGGTAATTTGCTTTTCTGGGAAACTGTAGTGATCTGTATTGGAAAAAAACCCACAAGAGCAAATTGTGCAAGACATCCCAAAAGAACGCCAATCCAAGCTTTCTGACACACCATGTGCTCCGTGACTCCAACATATTTTACAAAAAAAACTATTAGAAAAATGTTCAGAGTCTGTTTAAAAATAACATTTTCCCACTATTTTTTTTCGTGTGCCTTACTTTTTGAGAGTGAAATATTTTTTCCCCTCAGACTAACTACCTCTGTCTGGCAGGGAATAATAATTTATGGCCAGTAAAAATTAAAGCTCAAAATATCTATCACAATTTTGTAAATATATATTAAGATTATGGTTTCAAGGTCACTCAATTTGTCACCTGGAAAAGTGTCTTCCATTCTTAAAGGCATTACTGGTTTGTGAGAGGTTATATCTAATTAAAATAGACTCGTAATTCATTTAAAGAATCTCCATTGTATTTTGGGAATTTCTAGGAGGAAAACGAGCTGTGAAGTAAAGAATTTGCATCTTTCACTGGCTTCTGATCTCAGCTCTGAGTAAGATCTCAGAAGTCGCCCTAGTGCCACTTTGCAGCTTGTGCATTGTGGATTTTGAGTACTGCCTGACTTCTATGGCAGTGCAAGACACTGAAATGAAAAAAAGCAAATCTTGGCAGGTGATTATTCTGCTCTGTATGTGTATCAAATAGCAGTGATGTGAAGCTGTCAACACTGGATTTTAGTACGAATGCTATATAAGTGAATTATTGTAGAAAGAGCAGGTGAGGCAGTTAAAATCAAGTGGCTTACTATGTGCTTCATTATTATGCAATATCTGCCTTATCCCTTCATAAACCACAAAGTGTATGCTTAGAAATCAATTAATCTGCACAAATATTTCAGTTTAATTTTTAAATATGCATACCTCAACATGTAAACACATATTTCCCTATAATTAAAAATGTGTGTATGTGCTTACTTATAAATGTACACAACTCATATCTGTAATATGACATAAATTATGAACTTCATAACTGCTAATATGTTTACCTATGTGTCATGGTTTGAGATAGCCCCAAAATCCAATTCCCTAGCTCCATTCCCCCTCCCACATCTCAACCCAATGTGAGATGGGTTTTTCCAGACAAAACACAACCAGACTCAAAGTGGGGGAAAAGGGAATATATTACAATGACTGTACAAATAAATACTATAACACATTATACACACGATCACAACTATCTCTACCATGACATATAGTATTTACAATGGATCAGATCTCTTCTCCCCTCCAAATAAAAGTCCAGGAGGGAAAGAAGGACAGATCCCTTCCAGTCTCTCAGGGCAGCAGCTTCTTCAGAGTAGCAGAAGCAGTCTATCTCTCTCTCTCATGCATGCAGCTGTTGCTGGATCTCTGCCAGCACTCATGAGGGAGGTATCCAAGCTCCCTCGGCCCCGTCGCCAACCAACCCAGGGGTCTTCCGTGGGCTTCGTAACCCCAGACAAGGCCGTTCCACCACGTCATATCACGAAGACGCAGGGGGGTCTTCGTGACAGTCTGGTATCTCCAGGAGATTCAAGCTCCTTGCAGGGCCTCTGTGCCCTGCCTCAGGCTGCCACCTTGGCAGCAGTGCGAGGGGGGAGCCAAGGTCACCCCCTCTGTACTCCTCTCTGTCCCGATCCAGCTTCCCAGGACGCTCTGAGCTTCTCAGCTCTTCTCTGCAGTGCATGTTGTACTTCAAGGCTCTTTCAAGTAAGAGTCCATCATCTTCCTCCTTTCCAGGAGGTCTCAAAGGAGTTTGGGGGGTCTGGTATCAGTTCTTACCCCCAGAACTCCGTAGCTCTGCTGCTAGCTTCTGCTGCTTCTCTGGTTCTGGTCTTATCAGTTGGCTTTTAGCCATAACCTCTGGACGCTGCCGCCGCTTCTGCTCTGTCTCTGCTCACTCACGATGGAAAACATCCCCCAGCTTAACTACAGACACATAGTCCAGCTTAACACTGTTCCAAGTCTCTGTAGCCCCCAACTGGGGCTGGGGGGCCCCAGAGGCCCCGAGGGGCTCTGGGCCCCTTTCCTCGTGGCTCCTACAACATGGCTACTTCTTCTAACAACCCAAACTACCACTCATCTCTTCCGGTCTGGTTGTGGCATGTTTACATTTCTGCAGGAGCGCCCATTGGACAGAACTTCAAAACTTCCAGGGGTTTCCACCCCTGGGGGGTTACCACTTTTCTTAGCCTCTGGGGAAAAACAAGGTTCAAATCACTACACTATGCCATCACTATTGCTTCAGCCCAGCTTACTTGCTTTTCTATAAGGCAATGCATAATTTTTAATAAACTTACCCTATTCCACCATTTCTGTTTTAAAACCCCTCAAAAACAGTTTGGGAAGTTCTGTTGAACTGCATCTCCTTGCAGAAGTGAAAAACACAGCTCCTGGTTGAAACCAAGTACATGTTGTTGAAGTGGGAACTATATTGCAGTAAGTGGTGACCAAAACTTTGCATTCCAGGCTTAGCAAATCTTTTCATTGCCAAGAGGCTGAGGGAAAAACCAAGAGGGAATTGGGGGAAGTAGCTTCAGGCTAGAACAAATTACTGGATGACTCCCTTGTCAAAAGGTCATGTTCTTTCTTTAGGCAACTGTGTGCAGCTCTGCTGAGGTCAGAAGAAGGAGTATGAGGAAGAGGAAGGCATACTGAGGAAATAATCCTTCCTGTATGACCTCTGGGAGCTGCTGCTTGACCTATGTGGAGCACAGAAGGAAAGAACAGGAAGGGAGCACACACAGCACTATCAAGTGGAGAATTTTCTGACACATTTTCAGCCTCTCATAGAAGTGCTGGTTGGAAGGGACCTCTCAAGCTCGTCCAGTCCAGCTGCCTCCTTAAAGCAGGACTGTTACTGATACTATGTTAGGTTGCTTATGGCTTTCTTCAGTCAAGCCTCAAAGTCTGTACAAGATGGAGACCCCATGGTGTGAGCCATGCCATGGACTGTTTTAGCAGCAAAGGTGAGTCAGTTCTGATGCTCTTGAGCTCCCTGGCACTATTTAGACATGTGTACCTAGACACAGCCTCAGCATCTAGTTTGGTCCTCAACAGTATTCTTGTGTCTTTTGTGCTTTCCTAACATAGGGTGGGTTTTTTGTTTTTGTTTTTGTTTTCCTAAAAACTTAAAGTGTTCCATTAAAACCAAGGTCTGACAGGATGGTTGATGATTCAAATGTGGATCCTTGTTAGTGAAGGTCTCTCCTTTGCTTTATGAGGAACATTAATTCCTGGCCAAAGCAGAGATGCGATTAAACTGGGCCCACCTACCACATGAGTGTGCATGCAAATGGAAGAGAATGATGTCTGGCCTCAAGAAAAGGGAACACGGCAGCTGATTTCTTCCAGGAAGTCCTGTCAAGGGTGTGTCAGTTGGCAAGAAGGTAGGTCATTAACAACAGCAATCTGACTCAGCAGCGTCTTCTCCAAACAAATCATCTCTATTCCCTTTACAATCAAAAGATATGTGTATCTCCAGGGGGTGGTTCATCATCCCCTAAGGCGTGTCTAATGGAAACAAAATTAATTGCCCTCTGATAGTGCCTATTTCTCTCCATCATCTGCAGAAAGTTCTTTTAAATTCCATGATTAAACTAAGTACTTAATTTTTTACAGTACTAGCATTAAAGTGAAACTGATCTCTCCCAGTAGAGCTGGATATATACCAAAGAAAATATTTGCAAACAAAGATTCCCAAACTTGCTTTGGCTTTCAGAACACCTTTTATCTGGTTTCCATAAACAGTCTTCAAGTAATATTTTGTATGGGAACATTTTACAAGCAAATGAGTTATTGTGGTGCAAATGCTTGTGTGATACCTGCCAAACTGCAGGTGAAAGATTGGCAGTTGAAGTCTGCAAGTCCTGGTGCTGGCTCTAAGAAATTGGTTTCACTTCTACCCCCTGAGGAACTCTGGAATTCTTACCATCCAGGTCAGGGAGAGGGAAACCATCGTAAGTCTCTGAAGGCCAGTCACTCTCTGCAACTTGCCATCATGAATTCTTAAGTCCCTACCCCCAGAGAGCAGGCTGACATTTGTTTATGGAAAATATTTGCTGGGACGTTACAGATAACATGCTATTTTATAAAAATCTATGCCCTTTTTTGATTGCAAGTCAAGCAGAAGAACAGGCGATCTTAGTCAGATAGTATGCAAGCGGCTCACCTCACTCTTGTTCCTGATAACCTTGGTTCTGTATGAATTCCAGTTACTGGAAAAAAATGACTATTTCCTTGACTTCTAAGCCATCTGTCCTTAATCCTCCAGCTAATATTTTTATTAACACTTTTTATTTTATTCTATTCAATTTTATTGCATTTCAAAACTAGTAAGTCTAAATCTATGTCAAAGAAATTGTTCTCTGCAAAATGGATTATTACATTTTAAAAATTTATTATCTCCACCATTAAAACCCAACCAGGAATTTAAAAACTGCTCTATGTTTAGGATTAATTAGTAACATTTTACGATTTCTGAATGGATGTCATTGCCAAGATAACCTAGAACATATGACTGTTGCCAGTACTTCTACCAACACCATTGCTTATATACTTCACTGGAACTAGCTCACATGAATATCTGTCTTGGTTTTCATTATGTTCTTATTTCATTGATAGAAATAGCTCATGCACAGAGAGCTCAGCTTTTCATGGCTGGGCTTCGTGAACAAAGATTTGGGAGGAGCTCTACCCACATTTGCTACAAGCACACTGGTGGTTAAAAAGGCCAATGCGAGATAGACAAGTCTGGTTACAAAAGGCACAGCAGAAAGACTGCTCGGATGGTATCAGCAAGACGCGATTCTTTCTGCATTGTCTTTTCTCCTCGAGAGTGATCCTGCGTGAGTTCTCAAAGGATCAGCAACGTTATAGATGGTGTGTCTCCAGACGTCCCGATTGGAGGCCAGAGTAGACCAGTTATGTTGATCAATATGGCCAAGGCTGAGATGTTGTTTCAGGGAGTCCTCGTATCTTCTCTTTGGGGCTCCTCTTTTGTGGCAGCCAGTGGCAAGTTCACCATAGAGCATGATCTTAGGGAGGTGGTGGTCCTTCATCCTGGAGATGTGTCCTGCCTAGCGCAGCTGTGTTCTCAGCAACATGGCCTCAATACCTGTAAGTGCTGCCTGTTCTAGAATAGACGTATTAGTCACATGATCTGACCAGTGGATGTTTAGGATTGTATGGAGGCAGCGTTGATGGAAGCGTTCTAAGAGTCACAAGTGGTGGCAGCAAATGATCCATGATTCGGATCCATATAAAAGAGTGGACAGCACAATGGCTCTGTAAACACTGATCTTTGTACTTTTCTTCAGGTGTTTATTTTGCCAAACTCTTTTATGGAGTCTTGCGAAAGCTCTATATGTCTTTGCTAACCTGTTGTCTATCTCTCCATCAATCTTACGATCCGAGGAGATGAGGCTACCTAGGTAATCAAACTGCTGGACTGATTTGAGCTCTAATTCACCAATGGTGATATGGGGATGATGGAAGACTTCCTGAGGTGCAGGTTGATAGAAAACTTCTGTCTTCTTTAAGCTGACTTCCAGCCCAAAAAGCTCAGCAGCCTCAGCAAAAGCAGGATGTTAAACGCTGCAGAGCTGCTTCTGTGTGAGCGACAAGGGTGGTGTCATCAGCATAAAGCAGCTCCTGGACAAGATGGTTTAAGGTCTTAGTGTGGGCCTTCAGTCACCTTAGGTTGAATAGGTTCCCACCAGTATGATATCGAATGTAGATGTTATCTTCATCATCAAGGTCTGCCGTGGCCCTTTGGAGCATCATGCTGAAAAAGATTGTGAATAGGGTTGGTGCAAGAACGCAGCCTTGTTTCACACCATTCATTATTAGAAAGGGCTCAGAAAGTGCATCGCCATATCTGACTTGGCCGTGCTGATCCTCATGGAGTGAGATGATCATTTTAAGGAACTTGGGGGGACATCCTAAATGTTCCAAAATTTGCCAAAGACCTTTTCTGCTCAGCTTGTAAATGACATTCAAATCATTAGTATTAGAATCAGTTTGGAAAAGAGATTTAATTTCCTCTGTGAAAAAAGCCAAACCAAACCAGGAAGAAGATGTAGTCTTTGGACTTCTGAAAAATGTTTAACTGCTGTTGAAAATCCAAACCCCAAATACCAGCATATTCTTGCTCTGAGTTGTTGTAACTTTTTTCTCCTTCCTTTTGCAATCAATATTGCTTTTTGGGGGGGGAATTATGCACCTTTTCCAGCTAAAATCTCATAGGCTTTGAGGAATATCTTCACAGGTATGTTTTCTTGGACTTGTCAAGTTTTATTTCAGTAGAAAAAAAAATGTAAAAGAAATCCTTAGTGTGAGTACTTAAAAAAATGTGTTACTATTTTATAAGAGGTGCTGATCTTGCTTCACATTTTTCTTAACTGTCCATACTGACAGCTGTTTTCTAGCAAACTAAAACTGTTCTTCAGCCTCATATTTATTCCACATTCTTCTTTTTCCCTTTCTTTGTCCCTTCTGGTTAATTTGCCTCTTGGCTTTTTCAGATGACCTGTGTATTCCCTTTCATTCAAAAGAAGCAAGTTCTCAAAATCAGATGAAAAATCTCAGGTTTATCAGTCTTCTAGTAAGCAGTTTTGTAGCACATGGACCTCCTGGATCTCATCAGCTTCAGTGTCACCTTCCAACCAACTCAGCCATGATGTATTCTCTCCCATGAACTCCAACGGTGAGGAGGTTCATGCCCTAACATGTTCCAGCAGCCCAGCAGTCCTTGACTTCTGAGCTGAAGCTTTTTTGGCACCCTTCCCCTCTGTCCTAATCCCTGCCCTGTCCTCCTTCTCCTTTTCAGTCCTGCTTCTTCTCTCAAGGGCTTTGTCTCCATAGTGTGCACCAAAGCCTTGCTCTACGGATCCATGTGCTCAGTGTTTGAATTGCTGTAGCAGCAGTTCTCAAATCACGGTACAAGAAAGCTACTGGCTGAGCATATCCCATGAATTAAGAAAAGCCCAAATCACGTCTGAGAACTGTTGACAGAGAGCATCGTAGTCTTCCAACAGCTAATCTGCACTTGAGGCAGGTAAGAAGACATAAGTCTCATGCTTTTAGTTTTTGCCAACTTTTTCCTTCTACTTAGTATGCTTTGGAAAAAACCCCCGAAACCATTACAAAAACCAAACCACCAAAAGTGAGGTTCAGAACAGCAGCTTCACAATATCGAAGGTTTTAGTGGCAATCCCTGTTTAGACAATTCCCTCCACAGCCACTCCTTCTTTCCCCAAAGTTTGCCTTCCCTTACGCCACTTTCATCTCAAAAAGCCAAAAGCAGGGAAAAAGAAAAGAAGGCAGTTTAACCTGGATTATGTAATTTATCCAGGGCATCACACTGCTTTACAAACAGTTGTGTTGGCACAACCAAGAGGTCTGTGACCTGCAAGGCAAAGGCAGGGGAAGGGAGAGAAGAATTTCTTAAGTTGATTCTTCTGCCAAAACCAAATTATTGTGAAACTGCACCATCACATTCCATAAACACTTTCTCCCAAACCTTATTAGACATTAACAAGTGGTGAAAACCAGTGGAGAATGCTCCTCCAGACCGGACTGGATACTTTTGCAGGCCTGATGGTAGCTGCAAAGGCTTGTGAGAAGTACCCACTAACCTAAGCCATATGTAGTCTTTCGGTGCTGTACTAAGACAACATGGATTCTTGTCCTTTCAGAGCAAAGTCACGGCTTACACAAACCAGTTCAACTCCTACAAAACTGAAAAGTGTGAATTATATTCTTAAATACACACATGACCACCCAAGTGAGGTAATCCCACTGGTTGGAACTGTGCAAATGAGGCTAACATCTGACCACAAGGCCAAAAGGACTGCCAGCATATCCAATTAGTAGGACAAAAGTAACTGCCCTCCTGAATCACTAATTATTTTCAGTGCACACAGTGTGATGAAAACCCTTCCAAAAATCAAATCTGTCTTACAGCAGTTTGACTTACAGGCAGTGCAGAATGGAACGTTACTAAGTGCATTGCAATTAATTATGCTTTCAAATGCACCAGCTAAATTTGGCTGTGCAATTAGGCAAATAATAACTGAAAGGAAAGGTTATATTTTGGAATTATACATTAGAATAGATGAATATGCCTTTTGCCTTAGCCCCTTGTTCCTGTGTCAGGGAAGGCATCTTGTTATGAAGCCCTGTCTGTTGCAGATAAAATGCTTGTGTAAATATAGTTTTCATGTCCATTTCAGTGCACAAGTGCCATTTTAATGCACTCAGCATAAATAAGCTCTTCCTTTAATTTATTTGCACATCTGCCTCAAATATCAAAGAGAATGACATTTCAGCAAGACAATGACCAAATAGTAACATCAAAGAACCTGACTCGGCAGCCTCCACTCTTTTCAGAGAATATTGACTCAAGCAGTGGATGTCACCGATTTCAGTCCAGGTGTGCCAAAGTGATCCCTGCTGAGAAAGTGGGTGAAGGTGACTGACACATTCACAAAAAAATTGTCTTTTCTTTTTTCAGTCTTCAAGTTACCCTTCCATTTATTCTACAGTTCCTGAACATAACCAATATTAAAAAATGTCCCACAGATGTTCAACAAATGACTTTGAAAATATAATTTGAAATTATTGATTTAGCTCACACGGCTTAAAGCACTCAGAGTAGGTGGATATCCTTGGGTAAAAGAGAAGCTGCAGTGGTGGGAAATTATGTCCCTCTCACTAGACATTTTGTTGGTGGATTCCCATAAGAACCATTCCTTTTCTTACCTCTTTTTAATATTCAGAATGTGTGGCTTTGTTAACTTTAACCCTAGTGCTAGCAGCAGGGGATTAACACAAGTACGTTTACTGTCACTCTGGTAACCTTGTGTCTTGGAAGGGCTCAGCCACAAGTTTGCTGAAGATGGGTTTGAGCAAGAGTATCATTGAGCAGATGGACTATATTTCATAGCCTTAGCGAAGGTTCATCTGGGTGAGAGGGCATATTGGAGACTGATTACATCTGTCTGTAGCTAAAGAATACTCTTGAATTCCTCCATACACAAAGCAGCATCAGTGAATAACTGTTGTAACACTGGAACAGGTTGCCCAGAGAGGTGGAAGATGCTCCATTCTTGGAAATGTTCCAGGTCAGACGGTCAGCAACCGAATCTAGTTGAAGACGTCCCAGCTCAGTGCAGGGGGAGTTGGACTAGATGGCCTTTAAAGGCTGTTTTCTATTCAAACTATACTATGATTCTATGAAAAACACTCCCCATAAGCTTAAAGTGGTGCACAACCCACATCCTACCCTTAATAATAAACTTACTTCAGCCATTCATGCTTTCACCATGCCTTGGATGGACTGTGCTAATTCAGATGGTCTGTGAATGGAGGTCTCTGCACCAAGTCCTTTCCAGAACAGAGCCTCTGCAGCAGCACAGGCTTTGCAGAGTACGTCAGACCTGCTCTTAATTTTCTCCACTGTCTTTGCAGGTATCATCAAATCAAACTCAAAACCCCCTGCAGAGGCCAAGAAGAGTACTGAAATCACTGACTCCTACAGACTGCCTACTGCCCACTGACTCCAAGCATGAGATTTATTGTTCCTCTTTTTAGCTGTCAAATAGCCAGCCATCTTGAATAAGCCAATTCTTCGTAGTTAATGGGTAGAGAAAGAGGTATCTCCTTTCTTTATTCCCTAAATAAACCTGTCTCTCTATGGGCAGTTGAATAAGCTTAGACCCTAAGCTCAGATGAAGTACCAAGCTTTTAGATGGATCATGTGAGGAGAGAGGACTGAATCCCGGCAGAAGTCAGTGTGAATGAAGTGCCTAAACTTGCCCTTTCCAGATGTTCTTGAAAGTTGTTTGAATTGCTGAAGTTCCCGAGGGAGTCAACCTTGTCACAGATTTCACTCTGTTGGAATAATATAATTCCTGGTCATTGAAACAAGTTTCAGCCTGTTATCTAAATGTCTGAAACAAACTCCTCCAGAGGTTAAGGCAAGTCATGAATCACACCTCTTTCTGCTCCAAGTGTTCAGTTCTTTGCTAGGTCATTTCTTTGGCCACCCCTATAACAAATGCACAGCAGTGTACCTATTAAAAAATTAAACAGCTTGCAAAAATACCCATGCAACAACAACCAAACAAGAAAAACACAGAAACCTCCAAGCCCAACAAACAAAAATTCACAGGTTAACAATGTGAGACACTCCACATATTTCACCTGCAGAGGGGATGAAAGAAAAAGCTTGGGAAATTATGGATGTGCAAGAGAAGAACCAATAAAAATGGAAAAGGTACTGAAGATAGGAAGAGGCTTGACATCTTTCCAAAACAAGTGAACTGACCTGGAATGCATTTGAATTTGCATAAGTAGTTGCAGAGAACGTTTTTCTCTACTTCCAGGACTATGGTCTATCTGAAGATCTTATACTTACAGCAGGTCTGGGGGTTTTTTTGATGTTGTTGGAGGGTTTTTTTCCTTGTTTGTTTATTTTGTTAGGGTTTTTTTGTGGGGTTTTTTTGGGGGGTTGGGGCGGGCGGTGTGCCAAGGGATTTTTTTTTTTTAATATTTCTTCTTTATTCTAACGCTTAAAATAGGTCTATCTGATTCTATATCTGTGGAATACACTTCCAGGATGAAAGACCCGGAAATGCGTGAAAAAAACGTTTTGAGTGCAGTGGTAGAATTTACCATTCTCTACCCAAGTGCAAAGAAATCTGAATGTTTCTAATACTGTGATGAGCCGAAAGCTCTGGCTGCTTAACTGCTACTGAGCACTTCACTTTAAAAATTGATACATTTGGACCATTTCCTAGATGCCACATTGTCACTTCTGAATGACACATTGGAAGAGGAAGTCAAATGAGGAAGTGAGTTCAGGAGTGGTGAGTGTGTAGTGGGTCCCTCTTGCTTGCAGGAACCAGCCAGGAATCTAGCAGCTGGCTGGGGGTAGATGTGTGTGAGGTGTAGTCAGCCTGTTGATTTCAGGTGCCTAACTTAGATGCCTACTTCTTTCCATTGTCTATATAAGGAATACAGTCTGGCAGACATGGAGCGTGGGGAGCTTGAATTGCCCATCACTGTCTTACAAGTTGTCATGGCAACACAGGCAGGCACTTAAAGGAGGTGGTCTGAAAGTGGTCCCAGCTGACTTGCAAATACATGCCACAGCTTGTGTGCAAGTGAGACAGCTATACTGTGCGCACCCTGGCTCAGAGTTCACACTCTAGCACGCTGATGTCTGGAAGGAGCGACGACTTGAAGCTGCTCTTTACGAGCCTCCAACAACAAATCTTTGTCTTTCTATCTGTTTTTAGGAAAACTTGAGCATGGAGGACGCACGGTGCTGTGGAAGGAAAATTCTCCATCTGCATGTCTGAGAAGCTGCATCAGTGATGGGAGAGAAATGAAACTGCTTTATTCATGGGACACACTCCTACATGGGGAGATACCCCTGTGAAGACAGCACTGCATCCCATGACTTCCTTCATAAATTACAAGATACGCTTTAAGCTCCTTATGGAATTGATCAGTTAATTAATCAGTTTATCTGCCTCTGCCCTAGATTTAAATTTAAATCTTTGTCGCAATTCCATTCAAATCTCTTAAGCTCTGCTGAAAAAATCAGTAAGCAGAAAGACTGGTAGCCTGTAAATTACTTCTCATGCAATAAGGTCCATTTGGGTTATTGAACTTTTTGTGTTATTTGGAGATGCTCTTGCACCTGCAGAGGCTAAATCCATTCTTGATTACTGTAACAATTGTGCAAGTGAAGGAATTGGGTAATCTCGTAGTGATGCAAACTATGTAGTTTTCTATGAAGGCATTAGCAAAGAGTTGCAGGCATTCAGAATTAATTCCAATAATGAGCTGGGATTTAAAATCTAAATACTTGGTTTTCTAGCTGCATTGCAAATTCATCCCCAGAATCCACTCTGTATTACTCATCACCTTTTGCACTCTTTAACAATGATAATGGATTTTTTAATACACGCAGGAAAAAAAGCAACAGAATTGGATTTCAAGTACTGCTAGGAATGTGCTTGAGCTCAGCTAGGATCCTAACATATGGAAGTTGCTGAAATAAAAAGAGTTTTGTTTTGTGCAACTGTACATTCAAGGACAGCTCTGAAATTCAGAACAGTGGCTCAGGTCAAGGCAGGATTGCTGTGGTAGGTCCTGAGCTCTGGTCCATGCTTGTAAGTGTTGAGGAGCTTATATGGTTCTAGAGGATGCTGTAGACTTTGCCTTGGACCTGTCTGTCTGGTGTTTATTTAAGCCTGTACTAGAACTACATTCATCTGAACCAAAAATCTAGTCTGTAGTTACAAAGTCTGAAATGCAATGGATAGGTCTTTCAGAATAGCTTTTCAGCTATTAATTTCAGATCATCAGTTCCAAAGCTCTACAGCACCATGCATGAATCAGGTGGAGATACTATCGTAGAATGAGATGTAGTTTGATGTCTCTCAATTCAGGAAACAGGGAATAAAATTCTTCAGGCTAGTACATGCAGAACTTTATAAGCTTCTGAAAGATTTTTGTCTCTTTCTTGTATGTAGATACCAGGCTTGATGTTAGCAATTTGGCTCATTAATAACTGATTTACATCTCCTAGATAGAAAATTGCTATCTGCCACAAATTTGTAAAAGAGTTTCATATTGTGAAATTCGCTAGCACAGTGAATTCTTTGTGATTTTAATGTAAGGAATTTGTGATTAAAATTTTAATATAATCATTGTAGTCTCCTGGGATGCTTAAATACAAGAAAATGTTATTTCCTGCATCTTAGAGTTCATTGTGGTGGATGCATTTAAATGCCATCAATGGATCGCTATCTGCTTTGAAAACTGAACAAAACAGAAAGTCCCTCAAAGCAAGTAAAGATACTGAAGGATTCATGGTCTCTGCTGAAGCATGAAGACTAACCTATTACATGGTATTGTCTCAGTTTAGCTCTGTGAGCTCAGCTGTCAGACCAGGCTTTGCACTTCACTGCAGAAGCTGACTGTGATCACTATCGAGTCCCTGCTCCTGTGTAACAGCTGTAACCAGCTCAAACCTTTCCATGAAACTGGTCTTGTAGGAAATGTATTGCTTTTTCTTTCTCTTTTCCCAAATAAAAACTACTTGTCATATATCAGATGAAAATACCTCTCCCTGAAGTTTGAAGTCCCTCTTTTCCACTCTTTTCCTCTCTCCTGTCTGCATTGGCAAATGTCAACAGATAAAGGGGAAGTTTAACCACGAAGGTGTTTCAGGTTTTGCCTCTTGGCCAAAGCAGTGTGACTCACACTGCAGTCCTCTAACATTTTTGACTAGTTGTCCAAGTAATGACTATTATAGGGCCATGTTGCAGAGTTGTGGAGTCATCCTGAGGAAGGTCAAGAGCAACACTGCTCAGGATAGAAGTAACTAATGTGAATAGGGAAGGGACTGCCTTGCCTCGTTCTCTCATCAGGTGAACTATAGCAGGGTGGTGCACAGGATAAGGCTAAGCTACCCTGATTGCTGATCAGCTAAGGATCAAATACCAAAAGTGTAATTTTCCCAGGCTTATGGACTTTCTCCAGCAAAGATGAACTTCAGAAATACTTTTAGACTTGAAAAATCAATTGGGTGAAGGATGAAATATTTTCATGTGTATGCTTATGCATGCAAATGTTGTTTTCATCATCAGAGGAGTTTTCTAACAGGGTTGTTAAGTCATCTTAATGAACCGAAATGGAAAAATACTAATCTTCATCTTGGAATCTGGTGGCATCTACACTGAAAAATGGTACCAGGTTTTATCTATTGATCATATTTGAAGTACCTGGACATGGTTCTAGTTAACTTCAAATATGCTGAAAATGAGCCTAGAACTTAATTTTCAAGTTGCATTATCATGGTCATGTCACTTTCCAAAGTATCACTAAATTATTCCTTTTTTTTTCCTTTGCCAAAGAGATAGGAGACTGTTTTGCTGTCTGGAAAAATGCCTTCCTAGAAGTAGAGGTCCAGATCTTTAACAAGGGAAAACTGGCAAAACCCCACTGATGGTAATGGAGCAACGCCGATTTTTGTCAGTTCAGTATCTGGCCCATCAGATTTTCAACTGTTATCACCACAGGCAGAATTCAAATTGACACAGCGTGGGCTAACATGATTGAATGCAGAACAGGCTTCCCGGTTTCCTAAATTATTTTAATAACAGAAAGAATGTAGATGGAATGCCAGGCTAAGATCTCTACCTGGATAAGGGCCCAGATTTAATTTAATTTTTTTTATTTTTTTTTTTAAATAAGCCTCTTCCAAAGTCATTACTTTTCCATTATGGAGTTTGTCATGTCATAGTCCTCAGGAACAAAAGCCTATGATTCCTTTCAGAGCTGCAAAATCTCACAGCTTCAGGTAGGAAATATTGTCTTGAATAGATCCTGTAGGGTAAGAGTTTTCTGGGAATAGAGAAGGAACCTACCCATCTCCAGAACCCATAATACACCAGCTGCTAAATTCATCTCTGAGACATATCTGCACCAGATACTGCATTTCCAAGGGCTCTGGTGGGTCACCTCTTCTGTGAAACACCCAAAGCCACCTGGCATTCTGGAGTCCACTGATTCCTAGGGATCACACTGGTCTCAGACTCCAACACATTCGTGTGAGCACTTTTCAAAGCATTCACCTTGCAGCCACAGCTGCCTGATGGTGCTTGGGGGACTCAAGAACAGAAAATTCTGCCCTGGAAGCCCTGGTACAGCATGAGGTGGATAGGACAAGGAAGGTGAGATCTTCTCAGAGATGAATGCGTGCTCAGATAATGTTGTCCATGTAGGACAGAAGGAGTAAGTGTCATCTACTCTAAGCTTCACTGGCTGGCAGAGGTCCTGTGGCAAAGCAACCATGAACCAAGACCCTGTACAAACAGCGTGGACTCCAAACAACATGGGCTGAAATGTCTGTAGGAACAGTGATAATCTGCACATAAATAAATTTGCCAATCATAGGAGCCAAATTAAAAACAAAAATATAACAATTTGATTTCTCCCCTTAGGGAAAAGAGTTGTGTTTTTCCGCACTTGAAAGAATTCTGACATCTTACTTTCATCTGCCCTTGTGCCAGAACAAAGCTAGCTGATTACTTAATATCTCAGCTCTGATTTGGGGTGTATTTTTTATTCCTCTTAGAGATTCAGAAGGTGGTTAAAAGCCTCATTTTAATTCATTAATTAGTATGTCTCCTTGTTCTTTTGACCAGAAATGCAAGGATATCCTTTTCTGTGAATGTCATTTTCTCTCTGGGCTCTTGTACTTTAATTTCCTAGCTGGGAAAACAGGAATAGAAGATAAATTAGGTATTGAAATGGGAGGATATGAACATGACTCTCTTCTCCTACAGAACTTTTTCTTTCAAAGAGAAAAAACTCCAGTAGTAAGCAAAATAGAATAAAGAGCTTTATAAATCAATTGTATTGAATAAAACATTTTTATCCTTCAAAAACTTTATTTGGGAGAACAAATTTTAAAGAAAATTCAAAGCCTTGGTGCACTTACTGTTCCTGTGTATTTTCTCTTCTCCCACATACCATCCCAGCAATATGGCTTTACTTCTCAAGTTATTAATCTAGGTTTTGTGGTTTTGGTGGATAAATAACTATTTTATTATGCCTACCACAGCAGAGCCTTGATGTTTAATATGTTGCTGATACACAAATATTAAGTTACAAATGCAATGTTTAGTATGTGAATGAAGGGGTCTTAGGTGGGATGAGCCTGTCTACCTCTGCTTTCAAATACACAAGGGTTAGTTTCAAAAAAATGAAAACTCTCCTCTTGATGAAGGAGGGGAGTCATATATTGCTAACATTTGTTTTCCTGGATAGTTGTTTTGCTCTTAAAGGTGTACTTCTATTCTACTTTTCCTGATGGCACAGGGGGTTCTGTCTCATCCAAGTTCTGTAGTGTATAGCTTTTTCTATCTTCTGCCCAGTGATGGCTGAGCTGTTCTGAGGTTTAAAGGACCAGTGCTAAAACACTACCAGTAGTGTGGGAGATGGACACACACCTCCCTCAGTGCTCTTTACCTGTCTTCTGCTCCTTCCAATGGCCTCTTACGCTACAAGGCAGATGTAGTCACCTTGGTCAAAGGGCCAGTGTTCAGACTGCTAAAGGATCATGCAATTTCTAAGTAATTCTTCACTTCCCTGATGAGCCCTTTCTGAGGATAGTAGCATTGCCTGTTGAGGTAGAGATCATCTTTGTGAAAGAGTCAGGCTATGCTCAGGGGTACCCCAAAGAACGTGGAACTCGGCCTAGAATAAGTGCAAACCTCACTGCTTTCTGGCATTTACAAATGATAAGTCTTTGCCCTCCTATCCTCCAGGAGCAACAGAGGTTTATGCCTTTTTCTTCCCAAAGTCTGGACTGGGACTCGATCAATGGCAATCAGTTCTTAATTTTTGTCCTTTGGAGCATGCTTATATATGGTATGAAGATCTGAGCAGATGACAGGAAAATCAATCACCATTTTCTTCAGCTGCATGTCCCTTGGAGGCCCCTGTGAATGCTGGACTGCTGAATGTCAGAAGCTGTGCTACTCGTCCCAAGTCCGGTGTTTGTCCGACTCATCTGAGGGCTTCCTGTGACATCCTCCTTGGTAGCCAGAGCAGGGAGTGTTCAATGCTGCTCAGTAAACACTCATTTAATGGAAAAAAACTGAGAGACTTTTTCTTTTGTTGGAAATTTTTCATGAATTATTTTTGTTTAGGAAAACATGATATCATTCTGATGGTAAAAAAACAAACTGGCAGGCCAGCTTTCTGTAACTCCTAAAATATCACCTCCTATTTTTCATTTTGAAATATAAAAGAAGTAAGTGAAGAAATAAAATGGCCAAGAACAAACCCTATGTCTACTTCTTAGCTTTTGATTATTTTTCTGCCTTTGATCAGCGCTTGAAACACAAGAGAGAGAAAGAGGCTGTGCAAAGGAGCATGTTTTCCCCTTGCAATGTG